TGAGATAAGGTTTTGCACTATTGCCCAAGCTGGAGTGCAGTGGCATGATCATGTGATCATAGCTCACCGAAGCCTCAAACCCCTGGGCTCAAGGGATCCTCCTGCCTCAGCCTCCTAAAGTGCAGCGGTTACAGGCCTGAGCCAGCACACCTGGCCTCATTCTCATCCTTGAGAAGAAATAGTTCTAAATGGCATCATACTGTGTGGACTCATAGGCTACTTTTTTTCATTCAACACTGTGGAGCCGGGTGCAGCAGTGCTTCCTTCTGTACTCAGCCATTCAGGACGATCACTTGAGCCCAGGATTTTACAGCCAGCCTGAGCAACATAGTATGCCCCATCTCAAAAACAAATCGAAACAAAAAAACCCACCCAGTTTGTGGAATTCATTTATGTTGATGTATACGACTAATTTATTCATTTTTACTAACTTATGGTATTCGACTGCATAACTGTGTAATTTATCAATTCTGCCAGTCATGACATTTTGGTTGCTTCTCCTCCAGACCCCAACTACCACCAGAAGCAACGTTGCATTGAACCTTCTTGTCTTTGCACGTACAGACAAGGTACTCTAGAGCACATACCAAGAGCAGAATTGCTAAGTTACAGAGTATCTTTGCCAGAAATTGCTAAGTGGCCATCCAAAGTTAGTGAACGAATGTACACCCCCACTAGCAGTGCAAGAGTTCTGCTCTGCTCACAAATCCACATCCTTACCAATTTTGGTCAAGGCAGATTTTTAAGTTTTTGCCCATCTGTTAAGGGTAACATGGTACATCCTTAGTTTTAACTTGCATTGCTGCTCAATACTTGTAACAATGAATAAAAACGGTTCCACTCATTACCTGAGATTTGAGAATCTGTCCCAATTCCTAGTTCCATATCTAGACTCCAGTATCTGTATTAATTTGGCTTTCAAAACTTGCCTTCTACTCAGACTCTTTCCATCTTCACACTTCTGTCATGACCCTAGAAATCCTTTGCTTAGCTGGTTTTGAAGCCTTCAAGTCAATCTCAGCCTCACTCCTTTGCCTGAAAACAGTAGGTGGCCAAGTATACAGTAAGCGGTAAAGAGCAACCAGATCTCAGGTGTAACCAGTCAATAAGTGCTGCCAATTTTTGCTGTCAATTGTTTTGCAGCTTTTCCTTCCTTTCCCCTTTCATCATGTTAATCCTGCTGTCACCTCACTCACTGATCCTTGCAATAAGCCAGACTGACCTGAAAAGAATCGCCAGTGTCCTTAGCGTTGTCTGTAGAGGACAGCACTGTCTGAGGCTGTCGGGGCTATATGTCAGGAGGAGACTCCTGGTGCCTTCTGAGCTCTACTAGGACAGGATCCCAGGAGAGCAGGACGCCTTGCACATAGGAAGTACTAAGTCAAGGTTACTTACCAGTAAATGAAGAGGCATGGGAAACTCATCATCACAAAATACGTCTTATCGAATTTTGGTTTTAAAAGAGAACTGGCAGTAACTCCAAATACACTAAAGCTCCAGTCTGACAGTCCCTGAGCCTTCGATATTTGTTCTAAGACGCACAGAAATGTAATGCAAATCAGATACGATTTTTTACTTGTTTTCTGCACACACACACACACACACACACACACGGAAAAGTAAAAAAGATCTAGGCATAACGTGTGCACCTGTAGTTCCAACTACTGGGGAGGCTGAGGCAGGAGGATCGCTAGAGGGCTGGAATTCGAGACTAGCCCGAGCAACATAGCAAGACACCCCACCCCCATTACCGCCCGGGAAAAAAAGAGAGTTTAAAAAAAAGAGTAAAAAGAAATGTAAAAATAATTTTAACAAATCATTTTATTTAACCCAATACATTGAAAATGTTATCTAACAGGCATGCAATATACAAATTACTAATATCTTATACAAAGTCTTTGGAATCCTGTATTTTACACGTAAAGCACATCTCACTCCGGACTAGCCAGGTTTCAAGCACGTGACAGCCGCACAAGGCCGAAACCCCGGCCAGGGGAATTAATTCTTCTCGCTCAAGCACGCTTCCCTGCAAGCCCGGCCTAATCCCCTCTCTCTCTCATTCGCTCGAATACGCTCCGCGGTTATGCCTCTCACCTCACTGCACTGCAAGTATTTCGCCCACGCAGCATCTACTGACCCCCACTCAGCGCCGGGTAATCCTCCCGCTGCTGGGCTGGGAACGGTGTGTCTGGCTTCATTCCGTTCTGGGCCGGCTCGGGACGCGCTCAAGAGAAACCGGAATCAGACACAGGCCTGGCTCAACTTTGGAAAAGATGCGCTCGAGGCTCCGGTGGCTTCTGGCAGTCGGCTGCCGGCAGCAGGGCACCGAGGTCGGGCTGAGCGAGCCGGGAGCCACCGACTCAACCAAACACTGGAACCCAACCACCTCCTCTTCGTCCGCGATGCCTGTGACGTGACGCGCGCGCCGCGCGGCGTCGCTCTTTAATGCCGTCGGGCGTTCGGCGCCCTGCGTCACACGCCACCTGGGACCTAGGCGGGACTTCCGGGCGAGTGTAGGCACAACTTCCGGAAGGAGGCGGAAGAGTCTCTCGACTCTACGCTTTGGAGTCCCGGGACCAGTAAGGGGGTCACCCGGGGCACAGGAAAGGGCCGCTGGGGGAGAGCCGACCGCACTCGGAGTGTCTGGGCCGCGGGTCTGAGGGATGAGGAGGGGCCATGGCCAGCGACGGGGCCAGGAAGCAGTTCTGGAAGCGCAGCAACACCAAGCTCCCGGGCAGGTGGGTGTGACGGGGAGGGCCAGGTCGGGGTCAGGGGTCAGAGGTCAGGTGGCCGCGTTGGCCTCCTGGGCTGCGGGTGGAGTCGGGGGTCTGGAGAGGGCAACTTGGACTCTGAGCAGAGCGCTGCGTGGTGTGACGGGCGCTGGGGGACTCGGAGGTCTGAGCGTGGGGTCTGGGGGTGACAGTGGCTGCACGTAGGAGCGAGGCTTGCAAGGACGCGGAGGAGCTGTCAGCATTTTTCCTGACACTGGCAGGCTCCTTTCCGAGAAACTCCTGGGCTCCCTGGGGAGGCTGGAAGGAACTGATTCGGGTCGTGCTGTGAAGTTTGGTGGAGTCCGGAAGCTGGCCGGGCCGAGGCCGTGCCTGCTGGGGAGATCAATTTCTGCAGGGGGCGTGGTGCTTTTGACCCACTTGATTTGCCTCTGGTCTCTTGTGGGCTGCTGCTCTTGCCTTGAGCGTGGGAGAGTTTCCCTGTGAGTTTCCCTGTTTCTGCTTGTTGGTTTCAAAACCGACTTTCATACTGTGTTAGCAAGAAGCATTTTTTGTTTTTTAAAATGAAGTGCCTGGAACGACCTGGGTACACTCTAGATGCTTACAGCTCGAAGGCTCCAGAGTTCTTGTCTGATTGCCGTGGCCCTAAGCTCTGGCCAGGGCCTAGGGAATGAGACATTACGTGAAGAGTACCTAGGATAAAATTAGACACTGGTGAAAACAGATCAGAGATGAGCAAACGTCAAGATTTCAAAACATAGTTTGTTCTGTTTCAAAGCTGAAGTCTGGGATACTGAAAATTATGAATCGTGATATTAAAATAAGTCTGAGTAGAGTCATTCATAAACACAGTGAAATGGTTTGTACTCCTATTTCATAATAAATACTACTGTTTGAATGATAAACTTTGCAATTTACTGCATCTAGTTAGAAAAGTTTACTTTTGGCCCGGTGTAGTAGCTCATGCCTATAATTCCAGTACCTTGGGAGGCTGAGGCTGGCAGATCACCTGAGGTTGGGAGTTTGAGACCAGCCTGACCAACATGGAGAAACCTGACCAACATGGAGAAACCGA